GAACTCGAACATATTATACTAGAGTTCCAAGATAAGTATGCTGGAACTCCAGCATAATATGATGGAGTTCCAGCATAAATACACTAGAACTCCAGCATAATATACTGGAGTTCCAGCAAGTATACCGGTCCAGCATAATATACTGGAGTTTGGAGCACCGGTGCTCCAGTCTCCAGTATATTATACTGGAGCCAGCAAAGTATACCAGTCCAGCACAATATGCTGGAGTTCATACACGTAAAAATAGCACGGTATAGCCAGTTTTCGGACTGGTCAATCAAAAATAGCCAGCGTTTACCAAGTCAATGAAAAATAGCCACCGTTTTACTGCAATAGAGACCGGTCCAGCATAATATACTGGAGTTCGGTGCACTTGTGTATGAACTCCAGCATATTATGCTGGACCGGTATACTTTGCTGGCTCCAGTATAATATACTGGAGACTGGAGCATTGGTGCTCCAAACTCCAGTATATTATACTGGACCAATATACTTGCTGGAACTCCAGTATATTATGCTGGAGTTCTAGTGTATTTATACTGGAACTCCATCATATTATGCTGGAGTTCCAGCATACTATCCTGGAACTCCAGTATAATATGCTGGAGTTCAAGTATACTTATGCTGGAACTCCAACATAATATACTGGAGTATTTTTCAGGTTTTGAACAGTGTTTTCGCTCAGATTTATCTTTACATAAAAAGTGACTAAATTTCGATTACTTTTGAAATTGGGTATTTTTGAACGACCAGTTGTAAATCTGGCTATTTTTAAATTTCTCCCTTCATACACAGGTGCACCGAACTCCAGTATATTATGCTGGACCGGTCTCTGCTGCAGCAAAATAGTGGCTATTTTTCATTGATTAGTAAACGCTGGCTATTTACGAATGACCAATCCGAAAACTAGCTATACCGTGCTATTTTAACTCATTAAGAACGTAGCATGTGAAGTCTGATATGTCGCTCAACATATTGGCATCTCTTTACAACATTTTCTCTCTTTCACTGTTTCAAGAGATAATAATGATAGTCGTCGTCGTCGTCGTCGTCATCATCATTATTATTATTACTAGTAGTTGTACCCGCGCGATGCACTGTCAATATTAAAAAAATATTTGTCACTTTGTTAATTTTTCGATGTTACATATGAAATTATCACGATTATTTGATTATCCTATTCTATATAAATAGAATAGATATTGTCTAAATTTTAATAAATAAAATATCTATTAAATTAAAGGGACTTATATAGTCATCAAATAATTTTTCGTTATGTATTTTTATTTATTATATTATCCAATATTTAGTATAATTATATTGTTAATAGAATTATGACACTTGTCATTATAACATTTCTTTGCCTCTCCTATTATATATATATAGATATAGATATAGATTTTTTGACTCTCCTACTATATATATTATTTATTATATAGTATACATATATTATATTATATTATATAAATATATTTTTCGTTTTTTTATTTTAAAATAATTTTAAAACTCCAATTTGAAACTACTCCCCAATTTGAATTAGTAATTCATTATTTTATTTAATATTATTTTTTATTTTAAAATTATTTTAAAAACTCCTAAACTTGTAAAACTACTTCCCCGTATTTGAATTGGGTAGTTTTTCTTCTTCTTTTTTTCGTTTTTTTAATTGGTAAATTTTTTTTTTTGCTTTTTATTTTAAAATAATTTAAAAACTCAAACTTGAAACTACTCCCACCCAATTTGAATGGGTAGTTATTTTTATATATTTATTTTTTGTTGTTTTTTTTATCATATTTAATTATATGATATCTATATTTATTAATCCAAATAAAGTAATGAATTACTATAATATATATATATATAATATAATATTGTGGTAGTTTTTATTTTATTTTATTATTTTCGTTTTTTATATGTATATTATATATAAATAGATTTTTCGTTTTTTTATTTCAAAATAATTTTAAAACTCCAATTTTAAAACTACTCCCATTTGAATTGGTAATTCATTATTTTTTTTAATTTTATTTTTTATTTTAAAACTCCAACTTGAAACTACTTCCCAATTTGAATGGGTAGTTTTTCTTCTCTTTTTTTGTTTTTTATAGGTAATTTTTTTTTTGCTTTATATTTTAAAATAATTTAAAAACTCAAACTTGAAACAACTCCCACGAAATTTAAATGGGTAGTTATTTTTTATATATTTATTTTTCGTTTTTTAATTATATTAATTATAAGATATCTATATTTATTAATCCAAATAAAGTAACCAACTAAATATTAATATATATATATATATATATATATATATAGTTATTTTTTATATATTTATTTTCGTTTTTTTAATTATATTAATTATAAGATATCTATATTTATTAATCCAAATAAAGTAACTAATATATATATTATATATATATATATATATATATATATATATATATATATATATAATATATATGGTAGTTTTTTTATTTTATTTTATTATTTCGTTTTATTATGTATATATAAATAGATTTTTCGTTTTTTTAATTTAAAATAATTTTAAAACTCCAATTTGAAACTACTCCCCAATTTGAATTGGTAATTCATTATTTTTTTGATTGTTTTTTATTTTAAAATTATTTTAAACTCCAACTTGAAACTACTTCTCGATTTGAATGGGCAATTTTTCTTTCTCTTTTTTTTGATTTTTATTTTAAAATAATTTAAAAACTCAAACTTGAAACTACTCCCACCCAATTTGAATGGGTAGTTATTTTTTATACATTTAGTTTTTTTTTTATTATATTTAATTATATAGATATCTATATTTATTAAATCCAAATAAATTAACCAATTAATATATATATATATGTTAGTTTTTTATTTTATTTTATTATTTTCGTTTTTTATATGTATATTATATATAAATATATTTTTCATTTTTATTTAAAATAATTTTAAAACTCCAATTTGAAACTACTCCCCAATTTGAATTGGTAATTCATTATTTTTTTTAATTTCGTTTTTTATTTAGAAATAATTAAAAACTCAAACTTGAAACTACTCCCACCCAATTTGATTGGATAGTTATTTTTATATATTTATTTTTCGTTTTTTGATTATATTAATTAAGATATCTATATTTATATATCCAATAAAGTAACCAATTAATATATATGGTAGTTTTTATTGTATTTTATTATTTTCTTTTTTGATATATATTAAATTCAAAAATAAGTAACCAATAACTAATTATAAACTAAATAACTAATTAGTAACCAATTATGCCATGTGGCATTTTTTTAGGCTGCCACTTGGCTTAAGGAGAGGGCTTTTTGCTCTCCTTTTAATAATATATATAGAATAGATATAGATATAGATTTTTATGTGTATATTAAATATAAACAGATTTTCCATTTTTTTTTATTTTAAAATAATTTTAAAACTCCAATTTGAAACTACTCCCCAATTTGAATTGGTAATTCATTATTTTTTTTAATTTCGTTTTTTATTTTAAAATAATTTAAAAACTCAAACTTGAAACTACTCCCACCCAATTTGAATGGGTAGTTATTTTTTATATATTTAATTTTCGTTTTTTTAATTATATTTAATTATAAGATATCTATATTTATTAATCCAAATAAAGTAACCAATTAATATATGGTAGTTTTTTATTGTATTTTATTATTTTCATTTTTATATGTATTTAAATTCAAAAATAAGTAACCAATAACTAATTATAAACTAAATAACTAATTAGTAACCAATTATGCCATGTGGCATTTTTTTAGGCTGCCACTTGGCTTAAGGAGAGGGCTTTTCCCTCTCCTTTTAATAATATATAGATTCGAGTCCATGGTGAAATTTTGAATTCTTGATTATTATTATTATTATTATTAAAAAAGTCCATGGCGAAATTTTGAATTCTTGATTCTTATAATTTAATTAAAAAGTGTATAAGGTAAAATATGCTATTCAAGGTGGCCGCTTAAGAGAGTGATACGTGGAACCTAAGGCGGGGATAGTTAGAACCGAAGACAATTATCACGTTTGTCACCAGAAAGGATGACACTCGTAAAGATGCAATAAATACCCTCCGCCCGATGGCATTTAATGGAGAATATTCTACAACATTTAATGCGCTGCCCGTTACAGAGAATTTGTCATTTAGTCTCACCGTTACACCTTCATCTGTGGCCCTCATAATTGACACTATTTAAAGTTTTATACAATTTTATCTTCTTCTTCTTTGATTTCATCATTGTTGTGCCCGAAAGCTTTGCTCCCGGAATCACTGTTTCTGCGATTTTATCTTCGTTTTGAGGCTAAGTATTGCGTATTCCTTCAATTCTTCTATTATTTTAGGATCGAATTAATTCACTTGTCTAGAAATCACGTATAAATTTAACTGTACCCATTTTACGAGTAAACAGTTTGGTGCCCATGTGGGGGCCTAGACAACTGTGTAATTAACTTGATCTTTGCTTCTTTTACTAATGTGTTTTGATTGTTTGTCTTAGAAAAAATCACAAAAATGGAAGATAATGGTGTTAACAACACACACAATCTTGAGGCTCAAGGAGATCAGCCTCGTCACGAGGATTCAGCCAGTTACACCCACAATAAGAGGAATAATGTCTCGCCGGTCCACGACAGTCGGTACTCACGACATGTTCGAGAGGCGACTCCCGATGATGCTGAAGAAGAGCAAGTTGTTGATCTGGTAAGGGTCCTAAAAGAGCAATAAGCGATCATTGTAGGCCACCTCACACGGCAGGATAAGGTTATGACGGAGTTGAAGCAGGCGTTATCGGGGGACTCCAATAACGCGAATAGACGAGGCCCAGTTCCTCCCAGTGCTCTCCCAAATCAAGCAATATAGAGGGGTCGACAACAACACCCCGAGGAGCGAGGTTAGCTCTGATGGGCTTGGGGGGAGTCGATCCGGCCCCAATAACGAGAACAATCCTCATAAGAGCGAACTCTTACGGTTTGTGAGGGAAGTGAACGCCCGCATGGACCAAATCCCGGGCGCACCACCGATGCTGAAAGGGCCGGACTCAAAGAAGTATACTCAGCTGCCGTACAAACCTAGCGTGGCACCTGAATTAATCCCGAAGTAGTTTAAAATGCCCGACGTGCCGAAGTATGATGGAACTTCGGACCCTCAAAAGCATATTACCACCTTTACATTGGCGGTGAAGGGGCATGATTTAGCTCCTCATGAGATTGAATCCGTTTTGCTGAAGAAATTTAGAGAGACTCTCATGAGGGGAGCCTGGACATGGTATTCGATGTTGCCCGAGCACTATATAGATTCTTTTGAGATGATCGCAGACTCTTTATTAAGGCTCATGCCGGAGCCAGAAAGGTACATGCCCGAAAGTCCGACATATTCAGAATTGCACAAGGAGAATCCGAGTTGCTGCGGGAGTTTGTCACCAGATTCCAAAAGGAGAGGATGTTGCTCCCAGATGTTCCAAACGAATGGGTGGCTGAAACATTCACCAAGGGGTTGAATTCGAGAAGTTTAGAAGCATCCCGGAAACTGAAGGAAAGTTTACTTGAATTCCAAGAGACAACTTGGGCGGATGTCCACAATCGATACGAGTCAAAGATAAGGATCAAAGATTATCAGGTCGGCTTCTCGTCGTCGGCAAAAGGTCAGGAGAAGAATAAAGAAAAATTAAAAGACGATTTCGACACAAATAGATGGTCTTTGAGGAGCCGGTTTTTGCCCTACGAACGAATCGAAGTACGCGGCAGAGGCTTCCGGTCAGCAGATAGGTTCGCTACCGACAGAAGGACTGATCGCGGTCGGAACAACAGATCATTGCAGGACAAAGAAGCATCAGGTATGTGGGATCTTTCCTACCCTAGGCTGCCAGAATACAATTTCAATGTCAGTATAGTGGAGTTGGTATCAGTTATGAGAAACATCAAAGAAGTGCGGTTCGCGAAGCCGATGAGATCCGATCCCAGCCAGAGGGATCCCAACTTGTGGTGTGAATACCACAGGATAAATGGACACCATATCGGGGACTGCCGACATCTGCGGGAAGAGATGGTGACACTATTGAAGAATAGGCATCTCAGAGAATTCTTAAGTGACCGGGCCAAGAACAACTAAGGTTGCAACCGTGACAATGCGTGGCCCTCGAAAGCAGGAGAAGATCCTCCACACCAGATGATCAATATGATCTTCGGGGGGAACGAGATCAACTGGGTCACCTTCTCGGCAACAAAAAAGACAAAGGTATCAATAACCCATAGCAAGAGGCTCTGGGAAGCTGCCGAAGACGACATCACTTTCACAGAGGGGGACGCAGACGGATTGTTGCTACCCCACAATGACGCCTTGGTAATTTATTTAAATGTATTAGACTTTAAAATCAAACGTGTTTTATTGGATCTAGGTAGTCCGGCCAATATCATATAATGGAGGGTATTGGAACAAGCCAAACTCACCGGAAGCATCATTCCGCCTACAAAACTCCTCACCGGATTCAACCTCGCAAGCGTGACATACCGAGGAGAGATCTTGCTCCCTACGAACGCCGAAGGAGTGATGAATATGACTCTTTTTAAAGTGGTGGACAGTGATATGGGATATAATATTATTCCGGGAAGACCGTGGTTACACGAGATGAGAGTTGTACCATCGATTTGTCATCAATTGCTGAAACTCTCAACGCCCGAAGGAATCAAACAAATAAGGGGCGATCAACCGACAGCAAGGGGATGAATGCAATTTTGGTCTCCAGTAGTAAAGAGAAGGAGCACGCAGCATAGCAACTACAAAAACTGGCGCCCGCTTCCGAATCAAATGAAGTTAGCCAGGGGGAAGAAGCGTCGGAATCTTATCAGGTGCCGAGATATTTCCAGGTACCAGAAATACAGATACCACAAAATCCACAGCGGAAGAGCTTGAGCAAGTTAAATTGTTTGAAAAGTTCCTAGAAAGCAAATTCCACTTGGGGATAGGACTAGACCCCGAGCTCAGGTCTGACTCTATTGAATTCCTTAAATATAATACCGATTGTTTTGTGTGGTCGCATGTGGACATGACAGGTATCCCAACGGAAGTGGTCGTACATAATTTAAGCTTGGATCCCAACATCCCTCCGGTAAGACAAAAGAAACGTCCTATTGCAGAATCCAAGAATAAATTAGTCAAAGAGGAGGTAACTCGCCTACTTGATATCGGTTTAACCCGGCGGGTAAAGTATCCAGATCGGCTAGCTAATAATGTAGTAGTTCCTAAGAAGAACAATAAATTTCGCATATGCGTAGATTATAAGGACTTGAATAAGGCAGGACCGAAGGACTCGTTACCACTGCCAAACATCAATCAAATGATTAATGCGACATCCGGGCACGAGTTAATGAGTTTCCTTGATGCTTATTCCTGCTACAACCAAATTAAGATGAACCCGGAGGATAAGGAAAAGAATTCATTGATAATGAATTTCGGCACATATTGCTATAATGTGATTCCCTTCGGGTTGAAGAACGCCGAAGCTACTTATTAGCGGCTCATAAACAAGATATTTGAAAAAAAAATAGGGAAAACTCTGGAAGTTTATATAGACGATATGCTCGTTATGTCTTTGAACGTAGGTGATCACCTTAGGCATCTGCAAGAGACTTTTAACATCCTAAGGAAGCATAATATGAGGCTTAACCCCGAGAAGTGCGCGTTCGGGGTCAGCTCCGGCAAGTTCCTAGAATTTCTGGTATCACAAAGGGGGATTGAGGTAAACCCCGATAAGATCAAAGCCATCGAAGACATCCCGGACCAGCTATCAAGCGTGAAAGAAGTCTAAAGGCTCATGAGGAGATTGGCCGCTTTGAGCAGGTTCATTTCCCGGTCGTCAAAGAAATGGCACCGTTTCTTCGCGCTGCTAAAAAAGAAAAACAACTTCGAATGGACCCCGAAATGCCAACATGCTTTGAAAGATTTGAAAAGATACTTGTCAAGCCCTCCGTTACTTTCAAAACCGAAGGAAGGTGAAATACTATTGGTTTACCTCGTAGTCTCGGAAGTAGCGGTAAGTGCAATTTTAGTCCGTGAGAATGAAGGTACGCGATCTCCCATTTATTACGTTAGTAAAATTTTACTAGGAACAGAAACTCGCTACCCGCATTTGGAGAAGCTAGCCTTAGCTCTCGTAGTCGCCGCTCGAAAGCTGAGGCCGTACTTCCAATGTCACCCGATAGCTGTAGCGACCACATTTCCACCACGGAACATCCTTCACAAACCGGAATTCTCGGGTAGGTTGGCCAAAGGGGCCGTCGAAATAAGTGAATTCGACATAGAATATAAACCAAGTACTACGATTAAGTCACAAGTTTTGTCCAACTTTGTGGCTGATTTCAGTCTGGGATTGCTGCCTCTAGTGACAAAAGAAGCAGTAATGGTGTCAGAATTGACATTTAGAGTTTGGATCTTATGTACGGACAGAGCCTCGAACGTAAAGGGGTCCGGGCTTGGTGTAGTATTAATCACGCCTTCGGGAGAAACACTAAGGCAAGCCATCAGAACGGTCCCTTTAACTAAAAATGAAGCAGAGTATGAGGTTTTGATTGCAGGAGTCGAATTGACCCGGGGACTAGATTCCGAGGTCATAGAAATCAAATGCGACTCCCAGATGGTTGTTAATCAAGTCTACGGGCAATAAATACCCTCCGTCTGGTGAAATTTAATGGAGAATATTCCACAGCATTAATGTGCTGCCCGTTATAGAGAATTTATCATTTATGCTCACTGTTACACCTTCATGAATGACCCTTATAATTGACATTACACAAGGGCATGATCCTAGGACCTTGTTCCCTAGGAGCAACTATAAATAGTGAGCTCTGTTATCATTGCAGAGGGAAGACTTTTCTGGCAAACTTATGTTATAATCGATTCAAAGTTTTATACAATTTTATCTTCTTGTATTAATTTCATCATTGTTGTGCCCTTAGATTTGCTCCCGGAATCACTGTTTCTGCGATTGTATCTTCGTTTCGAGGCTAAGTATTACGTATTCCTTCAATTATTGTATTATTTCAGAATCGAATTAATTCATTTGTCTAGAAACCACGTATAAATTCAATTATACCGTTTTATGGGTAGACAGAAAGTGTTTTCAAATTATTGTCATGTTTTTACTTTAACAAGGACTGTCCAAAAGAAGAAACAGTAAAGGCATAGGAAAGTGGCCCATAACTTTTCTCTCGTGGATCTTTCCGTTCAAGCAACTATGTCGAATTTTTCAATCTATACACTAAATTGGGAGAAATTCAAAAATAGTCAAATTTACCACTAGTCGTTGAATAGCCAAGTTTCAAAAGTCATCGAAATTTAGCCACTTTAAATCTGAGCGAAAACACTGTTCAAAATCCGGAAAAATACGCCCCCAAATTTTACGGGAGTTCCAGCATAAGTATGCTTGAACTCCCGTAAATTTTACGGGAGTTCCATGATAACTATGCTGGAACTCCCGCAAATTTTACAGGAGTTCAAGCATAATTATGCTGGAACTCCCGCAAATTTTACGGGAGTTCCAGCAAGTATAATTGTCTAGTATAATATACTGGAGTTTGGAGCACTGGTGCTCCAGTCTCCCGCAAATTTTACAGGAGTTAGCAAAGTATACCGGTCCAGCATAATATGCTGGAGTTCGTACACAAATGCACCAGAACTCCCGTATATTATACTGGACCGGTCCCTGTTGCAGCAAAATAGTGGCTATTTTTCATTGACTTGATAAACGCTGGTTATTTTTCATTGACCAGTGTGAAAACTGGCTATACCATGATATTTTAACAACTAAATTAAATCAACAAAAGTCAATTTTGTTATCTCGATTTTCTTTTTTGGATTTGTTTTCGATAAGATCTCCAGAATACAAAATATATAACTAGTACTTTTAAGTACTTCTTCTATCCTAGTAAGATACAACATTCATATGGTGCTTCCCAAGAAAATAACAAAAAATGTCAAATGAATCATGATATTATACTAAAATATAATGTCACCAACAACAATATTATGATAACCCATTAAATAAGTCATGTTAGTAAGAGATAATGAAAAGGAACATAGTTTGATGTGAAATTTATTCGAGTGTCTAGAGATTTATGGGCTGTTATAATAGACTTATTGGATCATTCAAAATTATACGTCTAAACATAAAATAGTATGTTAAGAAACAGAAATTTTGAAATATTTTTAATAATACTTACAAATTATATTACACAAAACATTTATAAGTATAAAATACTTTTTTAAGATAAAGATCAAAAAAATGGGCAAAAGTCAAGTTAATCGACTTAATTGGTTTGATTTTGTTTTACTATTATTTGAAAAACCGATATAATTGATTTGATTTATTTTAAGGAAAAAATAGACTTAAACCGAACAACGAATACCCGTACCTACCTGTAACTGTAGCTATATATCCCAGAGTTTGTTTACCTCGAAAAATCTGAGCAACAATAAAAGGTGATTTGTGGTTTTAAAGATATGTGATTTATTCCAATGCTAGTGAATATACAAGTAATATTAGGTTTAAGTAAGAAGAATTGATGAATCAAACCAGTGTTGTTAGAGCAATGGGGACCTCGATCTCGATTATCTCGGGAGACTCGAGGTGAGTTAAGAGCAAATAAAGTATGAACAATAAAGTAAAAGCAATAAAGCTGAAGAATAATTATGGAGCACTGTAAACGAGAAAAGCAGAGTAGAATGTTCTATTGCAGTGAATGAGATAATGTTTACAAATGATCGGGGTCCCCTTTATATAGGAGGGGAAAATCCCAATATGATACATTACCAATTATGGTAAAGAATTCTATTGTTACAGCTGTATAACAACCTAGTACAGACTCGTACTATTTCGTACAAATCTTATCCTATAATTTATACCCTGACCCACGTGTCCTTGAGAAATTTCCGCTCTTTCTTGAGTATCATCGAAATTATACTTTCCTCGTGGCAGATTATGGCGGGTCTCCGATTTGCCTCTCGAGGTGCACACATCTCGGCCAGGGTATGATCAAGTCATCGATTCTTACTTCGAGCTTCCGAACTCGAGCTCGGGGTATGATCAAGCCTTCGAAATCGAGCTCTCCGATTTA